TGGTAAAGAAAAAAGTACTACAGGCAGAGAGGAGATGGTCAGCAGCAACAGCAGCAGCAGCAAAGTTCAAGCACAGCCATGTTTTCTCAGGGCTGGGGATGGAGTTAACCAGTCTCTGAAGGGACGATACATCACTCTTCCCGCGACTGAATATCTTCACATTTAGATGTTTAAATTAGATATAGCAGCCGACCCAGAGTGGCAATGCTTCTCTCCAAATGGGAAGCTGGTTCTTTATTCACCTAAAATGGGAGCACCCTGACCTATATCAACAAGGCTGCTCACAAGTCTCTCCATGAGAGAGGGAAAACTAGTGCAGTGAAATGAATGGTGGAGAAAAATAAACAGGAAAGCAATTTGACGAACAGTTGGTGAAGACAAGCCAAACTTCCCAAGGGAAAGATTGATTGCCATTCAAAAGTAAGAAGCAAGCAGAGAAGGGAAGGCTTTGGAGACAGAGAACTGGTGGCAGAAAAACATCTGGGATAGTACAGATCTCAGAGGAAAGCAGGGGAGGCATTTCTGTGTCCATGGGAGAAAGACTGAAATACATAATGGATAGGAAGGTTACACAGGTTCCAATGAAGAGGATCTCTCATTAACCCCAGCAACTCCAAGAAAATTGAGGGTCAAGTCCAAGGAAGGTTTGCAAAAACATGGCCGAAGCAAAAAGAAAGTATGAAGAAGGTGGGAGGACAGAAAACAGAAACAGCTGTCGTAGCAGAATCAAAGAGAAAACAAAAGGTGGATTTGGTCAGAATGAAAACCTGTTTGTAGTTTCACAATCTTGTCAGTGGCTAAAGAAGAGCATTACTAAGGGGGGAAGAGAAAGAAAGTACAGAGCTCCACACCGTCTTCCCAGAGAAAAATAATTCCTGTAAATGCTGAGAAAAGTTTAAATATCAACCCACATGAGATAAAAGGACACATCAAAAGGCATGTGACTTGTCATTTCTGATTCTTTACTCAGAATTAGCATCCGTGTGAGATTCATATTGAAATCACTTAAATGAATATTTGCCTATTAGGGACTTGAGTGGAGGAGCAGAAGGCTAACTGTAGTGCTAGTGCTAGTACTGAGATACCCTCATCATGTGAAAGCAACAATGTGCCAATGTACATCTTGCCAGGAGGCCACGAGGTGATGGATGGCTCCCTCATAGTGCCTTTTTCAACAGCTAAGGGTCACTTCAGGTAACCTGCTGAAAAGGCTCAAGCATTTTCCAGTTTTTTTCTTACACACACTCATATTTAAATGTCAAGAGATCTCTGTGTAATTCAGCAGATGACAGAATCTGCATTTCTGATCCAGTTGGGTTTGTGTGGGTCGTGTGTGTCAAGCAGATAAGAATGACTCAAAGCTAGAAGGAGGCAGACCGTGAGGAGAAAGGTGAGAGACAAGGAATATTCCAACTGCTTGCTGCTGCACAGGGACAGCCAAATTCCATGACAAACAGATCGGAAAGATCCAAAATAGAAAAAAAAAAAATCACTAAAATCTTTCTAGATCTGAAAATCACTTCTATCCACTCCCAGAAAGTAAATAACAGAAGCACAGGCCATTTTTCTTTGTGAGGAAGCTCATCCTTCTCACTCGAGTCCCTAGGCTGGCTCTTCCCATTGCAACATTCATGTTTTTAAAAGCACCAGTAGGCTGCACCTTCATGACACACCTCCGGAAGGGAGGACGACGATCTCTGTTTTAAAAATGAGGAAGTCAGTCATGGGGCGGATGAAAAAGGTTGCCTGAGAACACACAGGAAACCTGTGACCAAGGCGGGTAAATGAACCCAGACCATGAGTTCCAGTTGGGTGCCCTGTCCAAGCTGGGTGGCCGACAGACTACCTTTTCTACTGGAGCTCTAAAATTTCAATTTGGTGTGTTGTTTAATGAATGTATTTGGGTTTTTTTTCGTTTGTCTAGCCACTACGTTTCATTTCACTCACACTTCTGCTTTGTAGAAGCTTTTTATTCTACTTCTTTTTTTAATTTGGCTTTAAAAAGCCCACAATTGAATATTAAACAGAATTTCACCTTCAGTATTTCACCTTTTCCCCCACCAGCATCAGCTTTTCTCTAGCTCTCAGTGTCTCAGTGTTCTTTGTGCATTCCGTGCTCATAATTATGGCCTGATCAAAATATATCAGTGATTTTCTAAAGTATTTTCATAGTTTCCATGAATTACAGCAAATGCTTGCTGCAAACATCAGTGTTGTGAGACAACAGAATAGATTTAGTGGGAAACCAAAGCAAGGAGATGCACAGAAAAGCTATATTCCAAAGTAAATTCTCCAGCACTGCTAGGCATTACAACAAAATGAGCAATCAGATGAAGAAAAGCTACCAGTAAGCCATTGTATGAAAATATTTTACCAGTTTGACTGAAGAATCACTGTGTAAATGTGAGCAGTGTACTTACAGTCAGGGTACTGCATCTAACTAGTCTTTCTGATGGGTGAGAACAGTGTTCCTCCATGATTGGTGCTTTAATTGATATTTGAAAAGCTCGTAAAATCTCTTATTGAAAGGCACATTATATACATTTCTAAGACAAAATTCTGTAGTATTATATTATTTGCTACAAGACAAACCATTATTTCATAAAATAATTCACACTCTATGAAACACGAAAATTCTCAAGATACAGAGAGGAAAAAACTAATTTTCATGTATGTGTAATAACCAACATAGTAAGAAAGAAAAAAAAGACTGTAGATTTTTGTCAGAAAATGTTGAAAAACCACAAACTTTCAAAAGAGCCCAGAATGCTATTTTCAGCTTATCTGGATGCAGCCCAAACCTTCCACAACTAACCAAGGTGTATCAGAAGAATGTCACCATTCCACTTTCACCACAGACTGTCATTAACTTTTGCCCACTGTGCAGCCAAGGTTGTCAAGCCCGACAAAATAACCTAAGACTTTTATGCTTAAAGCTCTTAAGCAGCTGCAAAAATAACCTTCTAAAAATATTTAATAGTTAGTCCCACTCAGCAGCTGGAAAAACAATTACTGATTGAAAATGTCAGCATTTGATATTACTTAATATTTGGGTTAAAACTATCTGTGAATCATAATTAACATTTCTTTTTAACTATTTAAAAGCACACATTTATTCTTTGAGGATTCAAAGAGAGACAGTATGTCTCTCTGGCCTTCTGACACCATTAAAGAGACTAATGCAGTTGAATTCAAAGGACGTGAGGCAGAAAGCCACAGTGGTGTAGTGAGTCCTTCAGGAACCTGGTAGAAACAAAACTGCACAGCAGCCTCAGTAGTACGCCCTGGGACACCAAGTCTGATCTGGACATACAAAGCAAGCAGTGACTACCTCAGGGTCAATTAAATAAATGCTCCTGGTGCCTCTGGGACTCAAAAGCCATAACATACAATGAATTAAAATACAGTGTTAACAGCAAGAAAACCAGAGGTTCCCCGTGAAACATCCTTTGATGCATATGGACAGCTGTACAGCAGGGCCAGGACGTAGCAGGCTGCTCTGCTGTGATGCCTTGCAATGCTGTACAGGAGAAGACCAGAGGCACTTGTGACCCCCAGGGTGCCTCCTGTGCTGAGAACATCAGCTTGGGTTGTGATTTAAATTCCAGCATCATACAGACCGTGTGCAGGCAAGATGCCAAAACCAAACATCTTGTCTTTTTCCAAATTTCTACAGAATTTTCCCAAAGCAACCCCCTGATTGTCTGTCCATTTGCCACAGCACAGGTAACCCATAATTGACAACCACATCTTTTTCAACTTCTATTCTTGTCCACCCATGTTGAATTAAACTAAGCACAGGACTTGCAGAGCAATGGTGAGAAGGCAGTATGGGAACCTGGCATAACTAGTCAAAGATTTTTGTGACACACAGACTCACCTAGAGAGCAATCCAGATGTGTCAGTTGACTACACAGAACAGAAATCAACAAACAAGAAACCTACTCCATGAAATCTGCTTTCAATTGCTTTACCATTGGGCTTGAAAGACTCCGTGATTAGCACATTAAAAACAAAAAAACTGGTTTTGTACACTAAATGTAACCTGCAGAGAATATTTTGCAAGGTGCTAAGCAGTGTGAACAACCTGTACAAAGTCCTTAACTTTAAGTGACTTGAGACCTGAGTCATTAATGCTCCCACCCTTTTTCTCTGAAGTGACGACATTATCAGAGGCCATTTCAAGGGAAATGCACTGAAGTCATAAATAGTTCTCATATCAAGATAACCTGCATCATCATCAGCAGATAAATGAATAAGAAGAGAAATCAAAGAGGTGTAAAATTTCAGGTCATAAACATCTGCAAATGGATTATGTTTTCAAAAGTAATGGTATAAAATGGCATAATGAGGTTTTCTTGGTGTTATTCTTGAATTCTTCTGGGATGATATTATGATTTTAAGAGTAAACACTCACAATGCTGTACTCAATGCAATTGGCTTTTAACATGAAATGGGGTATTTTTCATTGACATACATAGTCATCACTGAGACAGACACAGCTGATCAAAACTACTGCCACTCACAGCATACTGAGGTTCCCTATCCATACCGCAGCATGCTGGAAGAGACAAAACAGTGCTCTTTTCAGCTTACTTAGGGCAGCTATCCATGGAGTACTTTGAATTTAGACAGCTCAAAGTTTATGCCCCACAGCTAAAATGCTCAAGAGCAAAAATGGAAACGAGGATGAACAGTAAAATAACTCATGTATGGCACAGAATGAAAAACTGTACTGGCAAACAACAAGAGATCAATGCGTATTTTACCAAACTTATTTCTAGATTTGGGTGTTTTCCTGAGCAAGTCAGGTAAAAGCTTTTAATGGGCTTTTGCTAAATTCTTCAGACATCATAGTCTGAAGATGATGTTCTCATGTATACTGCCGCTGTCTAGTAGGTGTTGGAATAAAACTATGAAATTATAAGGAACAATCAAAACATCAAAAATCCTCCTGAACTGAAGAAACCACTTTGTGCTGCTTTTGCAAAAATACTTACAACACAGTTCTGGAAGTGATTTCCAAGCAAGCCAACAGTTGCTTTAGACAGTTTACTGGATGGTGTGGCTCAGCTCTTTCACACGAGAAGCACCTACAGTTATATCTGGAAAAGGAAATAAAACCAAAATTCTTTGTGAGCAAATACGCAAATAAAGTCATCTTTTTCTCTAAAATCATTATTCAGGTTTTTCAGGTTAATTTCAGGTTAAAAACAGCCTTAGTAGGACTATACAAAGTTCCCATGCCAAGCTTCAATTGTGTCGCCCATTTACAGGAACAAGTGCCAAAGCACAGTCAAAGCTGACCTAGAGGGCTGGAGCTGAGAGCAACTGTGCTTGAGAACAAAAACATACCGAACATATCAAAGCAGCCAACAACCTGGTTCAGCTGCTTTTCTCATCTAGCTCTACTTGAAGCATTCTCAGGAAACACAAAATGAAATATTGGCATTAGTGACAAAAAATCTAGGTGATTTCAGCAAGGCCAAGAACTCTAGGCACCAAGTTCTTTTTCTCTCTTGAGTGGGTGTTCACTTGCAAGTTTTAGACAAGTTAGCAATTCAATGACTGAACGAATTAATGTTCAACTTCACAGTCATTGTTAGGTTGGGAGGTTATTACTACTTGTTCTGTTGAAGTGACAGATTAAAATAGGTTTGTATCTGAAAACTTGTTTTCTACAGTACGTACTTCCCAGCTTTTCATACCAAATCATTTTCTTCCATCATGTCAACTCCTACTGTATGAACCACAATGGCTCAGATGGGCAAGGAGAAACATCATGGAGACAGGCAAGGGAGAGACAGAACTCAGCCCTCAATATTTCTTTTTGGCCTGACATCTTTTTTTTTCATTTTATGTCATTTATGTGAGACTTCTCAGCAAAGGAGCAGGCTCACGTATGCAGGACACGTTCTGCTTTTAAAGCAAACAGAGGCACAACTCAAAGGTGAAGAGAGGGCCCAACTTCACCTAGCTATCTAGTGAATAGAGAAACCCATATGCTTTCAGGCACTATTTCCATGCACAGGATGAAAAGCTGTGATTTTCAAACCCCAGACTGGAAGCCAGGTTCTTATTATTGGAAAAACCAAGCACTACATTTCAAGGTTGAGTTGACTGGTATGGAGGAAGAAAAAAATAGCACCACATGTCTAATTTTTGCAGACTCAGATCCATTTTATACTGGTAACTGAGCTTTCATCCTTCCCTCCTTCATTTTTTTTTTTCTTTTAGGGTAGATAGCAAGCTGCTGACAACTCACACTGTACTAAGAGCTGTTCACACCGCATGAAGTGTTTACCACTCACAACTGATGCTAAAAATTAATTTACAGCACCACTACAGAAAGCTTTGACAAATTGTCATGTGTTGACACAGTCATAAGTTGTTGGTTAAAAAAAGTAACACTTCCCTCTTCTGCCACCTCATGTTTGAGATCAGAGATGGGCACATTATGCAAAGTTTGAGGGTTTGTAAGCTTCACAAATGTTTGGGCTTCACAAAACAAGTTAGGCTGTGAAACTTTTTTCTCTTACAGTTAGGCGTGTGTTTATTGCTAAAAAGACTCTCGTAAGAAAAAAAAAAAAAAAATCCTTTCTCATCTACCAAGATCTGTGTGTTGTGCAAAGCCAGGAGAAAAGGCTGTAAAATAAATAACCTTGCATGACAGTTTTTCTTCCCATGTGAATGATAAGATCAGACCCGTGACAAATACCCAACTACTCAGAGCTGCAGACACCACCCACCTACTGTAGAAAGGAAAAAAATATAGCTGCAAGTAAGAGTTTTAATTGTTCTCAGCTGTCACACAATGTTATCTTAAGTGAATGCATTTATTTCTCAATTTTTCTGTATTGCTTTATATGAAAAAAAAAAAAAGCAGCAGTGCTCATCAGACAAGGTCCAAATTGATTTCTGTGTACTCAAGACAGTAATCATTAGTCAGCACTTGTGCCCACGGCATCTTTAAATTTTAACTCCCCATTTTCTTGGCCAGGGCAAGATAAATAACCTGCCTATTTACACACCAGAATCAGTAACGAACACAAAGGAAGTTTTGGCTGAGAGGAGCCAAGCTAACTTAAAACGCCTGCCTAAATCATGGCTCCAAAACAGAGCTAAGCGTGGGGAAACCAGAGCATCCGGAAATAAACAACACATCCACTTGGTGAAAGGATCTTGACTTGTTCAAGGTATTTTTACTGATTTATCTTCAGCTTTTCTCCTAAAGTTTATCTTTAAGTTGCTCGGCACTTCTGCAGACATCCGTGTGAATGAGAGAATTCCATTCAGCAGCTAAGGCAAACCACTGGACTCCATGTTGGCAGGGAACAGGACATGAGGACTGCCAGCGAAGGAGAGAAGAAAGGGGGATAAGCTGGGCCCTAGGTCAGGCAGAAGTTGATGAACTGAAAAGCCATTTCACTTTTTGCACTAGCAATGCGGACTACCAACATTCTCTTGTTAAACTCCACCACCTATTGGAGCACACACTCCACCTGAATGCAAAGAAGACTCATTCAGGAAATTAACTTTGCAGTACAAAGAATTCATTTTCCTATTTTTTCCCAACATTCATACAGTGAAGATGCTTTGAGTCTTTCCTGACTCCTGCAGAGAGGCAACTCTGTATCTTGGCAGAAGTCATCCAGCCACCCTAGTCTACGTCTGCATTGGTGCAAGCAGAATCCTGTCATTTCTCTACAAAACCTGGTTTGTAAGCTCAACCAAAGGAAGCTTCTGCAAAATACTGAGGGGAAAGAAATTTCATACTGGCTCTCCAGTTGCTCTTTATCTGAACTTTTTCCTGTTAAAATGCAGAACTCTCACAACTCAGTTGGCTCTCTTTGCACTGATACAAATGCTGCATGAGCTTTTGAGAGCTTGATTTCATGGCAGCAGTGGACTAACACAGGGGTTTTTGCACTACACGTATAGAGAACTGGTAGCTCCACATGGATCTACTTGTGCCAGCAGAAAAGATGCACATATCCCTGCACAAAATTTACCAGTGATACTCCGAAAAATGACACAGATTACCCTCTGGTACATCTAATAGAAACAGAGACGTTTACGTCATTTACAATCAGGATGGACATTATCTTGTGCTGCTGGCTGGAATGATATCATCCATGTTAATTAGCTTAGAATGCTCTACATTTAGAAAGCAATCAAGAGGAAACTTCTATTCCCTATGGATAAAATCTTGCCAAGTCCCACTCATGAGCTCATGCCTGCACTGACCAGCTCAGGGCTAGTGCAGGAAAGCCAAGAGGGGTTCAGCAACTGGGCAGTGTAGAACAGGGCAGCTCTGTTGGCTCCTACATTCCATCTTCAGGTTTTGTCACAGAAAAAATGGCAAAGCTTGATCACAAAGAGTGCCTGCTCTTACAACTCACTGCTGTTAGCAAGGTGTTAGATGAAAGCCTGCACCAAGATTTCAAAAGCAGAAGGGAACATATGAGTCCATCCTGCTTTCTTGATGATGCACGCATGTAACCAAAGTGCAAGAAATACACTGAGGAATGTATTCCGTTGCCACCACATGCATGTGATGCAGTATGTGAAGCAACTTCTCTAGCTGGAAAGAAGAAAAAGGAGGGGTGCAGCTTTCTAATTCCCTGGGCACCTGTGCAACAGTTAGTGAGGACACTGCTGGGGTTTAAGACAGCCTCTCCTTCCAGGGCAAGCAACATCAATGACTAACTACAAGGTGGGTAATTTTCCTGTCTCTGCTCTACACCCGTCTGCACCTCTCTGCAAAGGTCATCACATCACATCTCTTACACTCCGTTCTGCCACCCACCATAAAACAGAGAAGAAGCTCATTTGGGCAGCCTGGCAGGACCTCCTGCAAGCATTTGGGCAAGCAGGAAAATCCCTGCTGCTTTCTACTGTGTGGGGGCTTCAAAAATAGCTCTAGTTCTTAGGAAGGGACTGAGATGCTCAAATTACCTTGAACTGAAAGGATCGCAAGCTACATAAACTTTGGTCAATACCGCCTAAAGACAGCATTCCCTTTTGGGATCTCCCTCCTCAGTGCAGGAGAGGAGGCAGTAGGAAACAATAGCTCTGTGAGCATGAAATGGTGGGAAAAGGGAGCATAGCTTCACTTGTGTCTCTTTGGAGTACACCTTGAGCTTCTTTTCAAGCAGAAGAAACCCAGTGGCACTGTTAAGAGTTTAATCACATGAAAGCCAGCACCATTTGCCACTCTGAGGGCAACACCAAAAAGGCAAGCACCCTTTGGAAGGCAGGTTGGGAACTGTGTTCCCTGCACACAAACATACTGAGACACATGCACGTGGGCATTCACTCCTCTCCTCGTCTTTTTCTAACTGCATATATTACTATATTTTTTCACAACTTTCTTTGCATTACATCTGTTGTGGGCTGTGTGACAATCAATGCCAGCATTATCTATAGCATTAGCAAAGAAGCAAAACATGTAATTCATTGAAAAAAAGGACTCTCTTCTTTCCCTTTCTTCTCATTGCCATTTTTGGCTATGCTAAATAAATCCATCTGGTTTCTTGCTTGACTTGTATCCACTGTGATCAAACCCCTACCAAAGCTAGAATTTTGTTTGTAACATGTATATTCCCATGGCTGCTCCCAAATCATGTCTCTACTTTTGGCTTAGACAATGTCATCCAAGTTTTATTGTAGTGTAATGCTTACAAACAAACAAACATAAAAATCAGTTAAATGGCAACACACAGATGAGGAGCTCTGGAGGTTTATCTGTCACAGGAGCAAAAATCAGTATTTGTACGGCTTATGCAGAAATGACAGTAAGATTCACTGGATGTTTCTCAGTCACCTTGTGCCAGAAAAAATAACTAGATAATAAAGAAAACCTAGAGATATGAAGTTTCATTAAACTGTTGGTAAGAATGCTTAAATCAGATCATTTTGATTAGTACAAACTGAAATCCTCCTAACTACATCACATGGCATCACTTTATGTGTGCAACCTGTCAAAAGAAAGAAGCAATTCAAGAGACCAGGGATGGATCTCATCTGCCAAAACATAGCACTGTAGCTGGAAGATTTCCTCAACCTTTCAATCCACGGTGATTTTTATTGCAGAAATCATTGC